TTACTAATTAGCGACATATTTATTTATTTGAATAAAAGTGTTTTTAGAAATAATTATTTAACTAAATTGTTTTTATTTATTTTTCTTCAATGAAAATAATTTGAAGAATTTTTCTTAATTTTTAATTTCTTTCAATTTATAATTTTTATTTTTTATTTTATAATTCAATTTTAATATTTTAAAATTACCAACTGTTAAAATATTAAAAATTATTTTATATAATAAAAATGTTTTTATTATAAAATTTAATTAGATTATAGTTTATATATTTAAAATTATTTATTTATTATAAATTTTAGTTATGGATGTAATTGTATCTTTTCGTATTATATGGCCTCTAGTGAGCATATCCGTACGTATATGCTCAATTAATCAGCACTGGTGATAAAGGATGGCGTGTGTAGGTCCTAATAGATATTATTTCAAGTGGCTATCATGATTTTGTGATGTGTCTCTTAAACTACCACGGTCCGCACCTCGAAACTCAAGTTTCTTAATTAACATTAGCATTCTTCTGTTTGTAGTTATCGTATTCAATTATTGTCACTCAATAGTCAATATATCATATTTTGTTTTTTAAAATTTAATATATCATTTGGTGTATGATTTTTAACTAAAAAATTTGTAATTAAATCATTTATATTTTATATTTTTTAATTTTAATATTTAAGATTGGAATTTCATCTATTATTTATAAAATTTTATAAAGTATTTTTATATTTATATATTTTTATATTTAAAATACATTAATAATGATATGAAATAATAATATAAAAAACCACTCTATCAAATTATTTTGTGAAAATTTGAATTTTTAATGAATTTCTAACATTAGGACCAAACAATAAAAATATAAAAAATTAATAATTAAATAATTATTTTTTCGATTTAGAACCTAATTGAAAATTTCCAAAAAGTTTAAGGATAAAGTGATGGATTAAATCTTTTAAAAATTATGTAGCACAGTATCAACTTATTTCAATTGTTGACAAAATATTTTATAAACAAAATTGAATTTTATTTTAAAAAATGAAAATAATAAATTAAAAGATCTAGAATATAAAGAAAATTTCAAAAACAAAATCATAATAAAACCTCTTAAAAATACTTTCACTTAAAGTAATTATTTTAATATATATATAGAGAGACAGAGAGAAATATAGATTGAGAAAGATTATCTTAACTATTGAGAATGAAAATTCAAAAGAATGGTATAAAAATAAGTTTTAAAAAAACAATGTTACTTTGTCATGTAATAAGTTCTTCCTGCCATGACATGGTTGAATTTAAAAAATAAATAAAAATAAAATGAATATTGTGCCGCTCAAAATTTTGTTTAACTAAGATGACTTTTGTATGTTCAATTTAGATAAATCGAACAAAATACTTTTGTTTACACTAAGCTTGAAAGACAAAATCCTAGACAGTTACTCCAATAAATAGTACCTTCATGTAACATCTCCTATAATCCAAACATCATGTTATTTAAAACAGTATTTTATCCTAATCACCATGATATATCTTAAAAAATAATGTAATTATATATCTTGACTTAAAGATAAGATTAATCACTTATTTATACATCATTAAATATTATTCTAACTCTAATACAACTCATAATATAGATTTTTCTCTAACTTAGATATTAAAGTATATTTTTAATTAGGGTCCATTGTAAATAACTAAAGTATGTAGAAATTATCTCTCCAGTCAAATCACTTGGGAATTTAAGTAACAATAGTCACATATTTCCTCCGCTTTTTTTTCATAGTCGTTTTATCAGAATTTGTTATTTTTTTTTCATTGTCATTTTACTAAAATCAATGACTTATTAATTTTTTCCCTCCATTTTTACCCTTGATAATTAATACATATTTACTGAACAATGTGTGTATTTATTTTTAATGTCTACCTATTTTTTCTCCAACTACCCATATAAAGTTAATGTGCATTTATAAGAGTAATATGTTCCCAACAAAATACTATAAAAAAAAAAGGGACAACTACTTACAAGACTTTTTAACTATAACCATTAATTCATGGACAGGTATAATTAAATATAGTAGGTTACAGTTCACGTGTAATCAATGCATTAATAATTAATGGAGTAAATTGTAGTTCAACAGTCTTAAAAAATGCAAAAAAAATTAAAGGGTAAAATAGGAAAATAAGTAATATATATTTTTGAAAACTAAAATATCAATGATTTTTTTAACTCCTGTGCAAAATCTTAAACGACTATGAAAAAAACGGAGAGAGTATATAATTTAACATAATCTTACTAATTAGCGACCCATTCAAACAACATTTTAATAGAAAACAGAAAATATGAAAACATAATTTCCTTTACTTCTTAGAATAATGTATGGTTAACTAGAAAAATTCAAGAATCCCAACACATTAGCGAGAGATGAGATTGCTTTTAAGGTAATGGATTCCGTCAATAATACAAATAACAAGGAAACATATATCTTAAATGTGAAGGCCAACTAATTTAAAAAATAATAAAGTAGTATTATACCTAACTTAACGTATAATTAATGAAGATATATGGATGAATAAAAGTGAATGAATATTGGAGCGTATGATTTGGTTGGGCAACAAGTGGCTCCCCGCGGGCAAGGCAATAAAACTAAAAGCAAATAATATTTTATTAATGAATAATTAGTGAGTGAGGATGAATTGGTTGTCCGATTAAGGCAACCTAATAAATAAATACGTGGTAGTACCAAGTTACAATATTTGTACGCGAAGCAAAGAGTATATAGGAAAATAATGATGAGGTGGACCAATGAGAGAGGGGTGAGGTTGATCCAGCAGCTGGCCATAAAGCCTGTGGTGCCCCTTAACATTCAAAAGCGCCGAAAGAAAGAAACCTAACAACGCCATAGCGTTCCCTAACCCTTCGTGCGAGGTCGCTCGACCTCAGCACGAACACTCCCAGGGGCTGTGCCTGTCCGACGCCCCCATGTCCGACGCCCACGCGCCACCGCCCTTCCTTCTCCACCGCCCGCCGCTCCTCCAGTCGGCGCCGCCGCTCTTCAAGCAGCGATCCTGGTCCCCGGACGCCTACCGCGACGAGGCCTGGCTCCGCCGCAAGGGCAACTGCAAGAACCGCCGCACCAAGAGCGTCACCGACGAGGACGTCGACGAACTCAAAGCCTGCATCGAGTTAGGCTTCGGATTCGATTCCTCCCCCGAGGTCCAACACGATCGCCGCCTCTCCGACACTCTACCCGCCCTCGGCCTCTACTACGCCGTCAACAAACGCTACAACGACTCTCTCCTCTCCAAAACGACGCCATCCTCCTCCGATTGCGACAGCACTCCCTCCCCCCACGGCAGTCCCCACGCCTCCATCTTCACCACCGGTACGTAATTAACAAGTTTCATTCACTTCTTAATTTAATTTACTTCCAAACCTTGATGCACTTCTTTACCTGCTTTTACTCCAATTCTCCAATAGAATAGGTTTTACTAGATAAAAATTAATTTATGTGTTAATTGGATTAAGATCTAGTGGTTGAATTGTTTGTTTGGTGTGGTGTGGATTATTGTGTAGGCGATAATCCTCAGACGGTGAAGACAAGGCTGAGGCAGTGGGCGCAGGTTGTTGCCTGTGCGGTGCGACAAAGTTCGAGTTGAATGGGTGCGTGATGTGATGTGAATTGTGGAAAATGTTGATTGGGAACCGAATCATGGAAGCTAAACCATACGATAGATATGAACGGGAAGCGAGCGCGGACCCTAGTTAACCACCCAATTGTGACGGAACCAGATTAGTTAGTTAGTGTTACATGTGGGGCTGTCGGCAGCGCCTTCTTTTGTACTCTACTTGTCCAAAATATGTGATGACAAAGCTTAAGCTAGATAGATCTATTATAGTATTTTCTATATATCATATGCCATATCGTATGATATGCCAGACCGTACGTACAATTAGTTTTGTTTTTGTTTTTGTGTGTGGCCTGGGGGTGTGAAAAAAATATGTTGTAGTGTGCGTTTGAATCCAGTGGTGCTCCTAGTCCGAGTCCTTTTTGGTAATGGTAGTTTCTCTTTGCTCTTGAGGCGAGAGAGAAGAATATAACATTCTCGTAACTCTGACAAGGGATTTGACTTGCACGAGGATACAACTTGCTTTCTAACATGGGATGGGTACGCGTATTGGAAAGGCAAGACGGTGAAGCTTCAAATTTCAACATTCTTCGGTTCCTAATGCGGTGCTGGCAACGCAGCTTTGTGTTTCTGACTCATTGTACTTTCTGGCCTCTCTGTCATCACTTGTTTTCCACCAATTTTCCAGCTCACAGGAAAGAATGGAACGGAAACGGAACGAAGCGCCTTCAGTGTTGACTTTCACGCGGAGGCTGGGTTCAAGTCAAGACACTGCTAACAAAACTCAAAAATTACAGTGGCTATTAAGTGTTAAACACCAATTGTTAAGGGAGCTGTACGACGAACAAACAAAGTCTAATTATACAGGTGATAGATAGTTGGATTTCTTTTATATGCTAACAGTTTAAATTCCCTAGCATGGAGATAATTGTAGAGCAAACCAAATAGGAAAAAAAATGAAGGTTAACACTAATCACCCACCCAATGTGAATTTAGGTAATGGGAATAGGGGAATTAAAAATAAAAAAGTCCTAACTTTTTTGGTGGGAATGATTTGGCATGAATTTGAGAGAAGATAGATTAGAAGAGATATTAAAAAAATGTGTTTGATGGAGGGTGATTTGTCAAGAATTAGGATGTTTTAGAGGTAGGTCTCACAATTTTAATTATACCCTCTCATAACTGATGATTTGTGAAAAACTTGTAGCCTTAAAATTTGAATGCCGAAAACATTTTACTTGTGACGGGGGTGTTTTTTTTTAATTAAAAAAATCAATTCAAATTGAACCGAACCGTTTTATAAAAATGAATCGGTTAATCGATTTATTACTCTATAAAGTGGATTAGTTTGGTTTTTTTAAAATATGAATCGATTTTTTTTTTTTAAATTGGATCGGTTCGGTATGGTGTAGTTATCCACTTTTTACTTATATATGGATCAGTTTTTTTAAAAAATCAAACTAAATTGAACCGATCCACTTTATAAAAATGGATTGGATAACTGAACCAATTTTATAAAGTAGTTCGATTTGATTTTTTTTTCAAAATAGATCGAATTTTTCAATACGGATCGGATCGGTTATAAATCGGTTCGGATCAATTTAATTTTTTTTGCACACCCTTAATTAGGACTCTCTTTTTGAACCCTTTCTCGTGACTTCCATTCCAAGGTGTATCTCTTTTTCAACACTTTGATAGTGTAATAATGTTTGTGGATTTTTTATGGCCTTGGCACAACCTAGCATGATAGGTTATATTAACTAACATAATGGATTACACTGCTAAATAATATTAAATAAAATAAAATTTAAACACTGTAAAAAGAGACAAATAGATACAATGGCAATTATTTAAATTATTATTTTTTGCATAAAATTTTAACTCTATAAAATAAAATTAAAAAAATATTATTTTCTCTTTATTTTTTAACATGATTTTACTTTATTAAATATTTACAAATTTTATTTTATTTTTTACTTATTTTCTATCAAATTATTTTTCACATGTTTTTCCATTCTCTTCAATTCCTTCTCTTTTTCTGAAAAAAGCATAAATGTGACAAATAATGATAGTATTAGATAAATAAATGAAAAAGAATTACCAAATGTGACTAATAGTGTAGTACGTAAAAAAGAAAGAGAAATAAAAAAATTAAAATGAGTATAAACTTTGTGTTGAAATATATATAGTTAAATTCTATGTTATTGATTACAACTTGAAGGCAGTCGTCGTTAGCTACAAGTGAGTGCGTGTGCCAGGAAAATGTTAGATGAAGTCACTGGCCGTAAGTAACGTGAAAAGAAAATGAGAAAGAAACTACGAAATCCACACTAGTGGGCGAGTTTTGGAAGAGCCAATTATGGAAAGAAAACAAATACATTCACATTGCAATGTTTTCTTCTTCTTCTTCTTCTAAGGCACTATTATTCTTCTCAAGACGTCATGATCTGCATATGTTACACGGCTGTAATGGAAATTACCTTTTTCTCCATTTATGTGTAATAGTTTTACGTCTTAAGATTTTGCATAATTCAAAAGGATTTTATTTTTCTAAAATGAAAGAGTGTAATTTTAAATAATAAAATGTATTCACAGTTGTAAAAAAAAATTATAATCTTAATTATTAATTTTTTTAATTAATTGTTATTATTGCATTTCATTTTTTAAAGTGCAATTCTCTTATTTTAGAAAAATTAAATCTAATATAAAAATACTGAGATAACTTGATTACTACTATTTATACTAATGTAATAATTATTATGCTTAATTTTATTTTTATCCCCTCTAATGTTATAATCATATAACTTTAGGTTTTCAAATTCTAATTAAGTAATTTTAGTTTTGTACTCTCCAAATCTCTAGTTGACCGAATCGATCGAGTAAAGACTATTTACATTTTAATAATTAAGCATGGAGGGTCATGTATCCTCTAACTTCCCATCTGACCGAACAGGTCGAATTCAAGATCACTCACGAATTTTCTAAGACTAATTAAGATAATAATTTTTATGATTATCGCACATATTTGATTACAATTATAAATATGATTTATAAGCTCATTATGAGAAATAAAAATGAAGGCTTATTTCAATGAATTGACATTAGAGATAAATATTCGTATCCTTAATATGACACCCATATATACAAAGGAAAAAGGGTTTAACCAAAGGACAAGTTACACTCATCAAATGTTATAGATTAGGACGACGGCTAGGTTTTCTTAGAGTTTATATCACTAGTGGTTCTCCGGCTACTATTCTTTGACCGAAATAAATTTGTATCACAATTATATAATTTAATCTTTTAAATATTATAATAATATAATTTTTTATTTATTTAAGTTACATATATTATAATTTTGATTCATGTATTAAATGATATATTTATTATTATTAATATTATTAACATATGTAATTTAAATAAGTAAATTTATTTTATAGAATTATAATATTCTATTGAATCACATAACCGTAATACTTTAGTAATTAAAATTATTCAATTAAAAATTAAAAAATCAACATTATATAACTGCAATACTTAAAAATTAATATTATTTAATTAAAATTTGATAGATTAAAATTACACATTTTAATATACTTAAAGAGAAAAAAATGCATCTGTGTGTAATTATTATAATAAAAAATAACCAAAATAACATTTTCCTTTTTTTCCTATGTACGTCTTTTTCACTGCTGACACAGTAACACTTGGGATGTGTTTAATAAGTTCGTCAAGATATACATGTGTGGAAGCAAGAATTTACAAGTATGATATTGTTAATATAAAAAAATATTTGTTGGCATTTTTTATTCTCATAAATTTGACATTTATATAATTTGCATAATTTTCAATCTCATGATGATGATCGATGTCTTTGTATATATATTGCAAGTTATCTTGTGCCTCAACTATTAACTTCCATTCTCACTTGGTTTTCTTTTTATCATTTTTTTTAATATTCTTCTTTAGCATTGACTTTTTAACCAAATACAATTTTAATTAAGTTTAGTCAAAAAAATATAATATAATATTTGTTATTCATGAAATTAAAATCGTAAACAGACCATGGTTACTTACTAGATTGAGTTTTTTTTTTTTTTTTTTTTTGTAAGATAAGGGTTAAAGCCCAATCAAATAATCACTAAATTAGAAGAAAAACAGAATTATCTGCTAATAACAAGTGATAACTAAAAGACAGATGAGACTCGTAAACAAAAAAGTCTTTCTCTAAAACCATCATGCGTTTAGCAAGAATGTCCGCAACTAAATTATCTTCTCTTAGAATATGATAACATGAAAATAAGGAAAATTGATTACTCAGCTCTTTTATCTCTTGAACAAGGGTAAAATAAGGGTGAGAACCAAAGCAACCTTCATTAACAAACCTCACTGCAATGGAAGAATCTGACTCAATTATCACTTGATGACCCAAATTCCTATTAACTAGAATGCGCAATCCATGTATAATGGCCCATAGCTTCGATTTAAGGATGGAGCACATACCTAACTTCTCTGTGAATGCCACCACAAACCTGCCATATGAGTCCCGGATCACTCCCCCACAAGAGGCCATATTCTCTCTAAACACAGCCCCATCACAATTTAATTTCAGGATACCTTTAGGAGGTTTCATCCAATTGAGTCTATAACTATAATTAACTTCCCCAACTTGTGATTGTTGATTAAGACCATATGTGGTAGCAAATATCATTTGAGCATTTATTTCAGCTACTACTTGATTAGTTGTGATGGATTGACCTTGAAAAATGGCTCTGTTTCGGCGGTGCCATAATAAATCCAACGTAATAGAAAATCTATAGTTCCACCCAGGAGGGGAACGATTAGAGTTTGATAAGTTCTTCAACAACCAGGGTTGCAAATTATCTTGATCCGCAAGCATCCAAGATGAATCTCTACACGACTTGGACCACACTTCTTGGGCAAATCTGCAATCCTTGAGCACATGTAGACTATCTTCCTCACCCCGTAAGCAGATACTGCATAATGGATTCATTGTCATTCTACATTGAGCACGACAAAAGTTTGTCAATAATTTTTCATGTGCTACTCTCCATAGGAATACATGAACTCTTTCAGGACCCTTTCACTTCCAAATACTTTTAAACAAGGGGATACTAGATTGACGAGTGACACTAATACAAGAGAGATTTTCGTATCGGTTAAAAAAATAATTTATATTAATTTTGTAATTAGTGTAGATGTCAAAAATAAAAGACTTTGTATATGGACTGTATTTTAATTAAAATACATTTATAAAAATATGAATTTGACGGCAGCATCTCAGTCCGCACCACCTCCCTGCGCACTCTTTTTCTACGGTTCCCTGCTCCCCCGCTGCCAAAATATTAATATATATGGATCCACAGATATAATATTCGATGTTCATTCTGTTTTGATTTTTCCTTATTAATATTATAATATTAGTGGTCTCGAACAATTTCATATCTATATATATTTTTTTGAGTATTTAAATATTATTGATATTTGTTGAATTAACTGATTTTGTATTTAATTTTCAAATTTTAAGAATATCAAATTTAAAATTTAAATTTATATAAATAAATATTTTTTAATATTTTATTATTATTTAAGAGTAAAAAAAATTATATACACGAAAAAACAACATCATTTTGATATATAAGTATAAATACAATAGAATTGTGTTTACTTTTAACACTTGATATATATATATATATATTTGAATAAAAGTATTTTTAATAATTTAAAAAAATTTTCATTGTTCAAATAAATATATATTTATCATTAATTTGTAATTAAAATTTCAACATACCTATATGGTTATATACATACTAAAGATATATATAATCTTGCCCACACACCAACAACAATAATGTATTTGTTTATACCACTACTAGAAAAATGTCATTTTCTTGCAAATTTTATTGTAAAAAATATTCGCAGAATTTTTTTGCAAATTTTCTTACAAAAAATTATTCGCAGAAATTTTTTGCAAATTTTCTTGCAAAAAAATATTCGCAGAAATTTTTTGCGAAAAATAATTTACAAATATTTTTTACAAATTTTGCTACAATTTTAATAATCATATAAATTTTTTTCCATGGTAAAAATTTGCAGAAAATATTGTAAGAATTTTATTTTGTTTTTTGCATATTTTCTTGCAAAAATAAATTCGCAAGTAATGTTTACTAAATGGTAGAAAAAATTTGCAGGTAACTTTCCCTGTAAATTTTCTTGCAAATTTTAATCCACAAGAAAATAAAAAATATATATTTAAATTTATAAGTTTAATATTTTAAAAAAAACTTCAAGTCCAATATCGATTGAAAATAAAACAATTAAAGAGTATATAAGTTGGGACAATACTTACCTTACAAGTTGATTTATATGGTTGAGTGTTAGACTTATAATCTACAATCTTAGAATTTAAAAGATTATGTATCACATGTTGGAGGCATGGAAACAAATGCTTCGGATGAATTCATTGTGAGCATTTGAAAGTTAAAAAATTATTGATAGAATTTGTAGTAATTTCTTTAATTTTTTTCGTAAAAAATATTCCTGCAAATTTTCATGTGAAAAAATTCGCAGGAAAATTTTTTTTTGCAATAAACTTTCCTGCAAATTTTTTTTGAAAGAAACTTTCCTGCGAATTTTTTTCGTAAGAAATTTCGCAGGAAAATTTCTTGCGAATTTTAAAATTTGCAAAAAAATATTATCCACGAAGTAATTACCTACAGATAAAATTTCGCAAGAAAATTTGCAGGAACAACGTTTCCTACGAATTTTTATGAAAAATTTACAGGAAAAATCGCATGTAATAAGATAAATTCTAGTAGTGTACATAGCAAGTAATAAAGTTTAAGTTTAAAATATTGTACAAATTATTTAAATTTTAAGTATTTTTATTTGTTTGATAAGAGAATATTAGTCCTTCCTACTAGATTGGCTCAGACTCATACAAGAGTAAAATGATATCTCGTAGTGTCTCCAAATTTTCAATACTAATTAATCATAGCAAATTAAACTTAATTTTTAATAGAGATATATTGTCACACTTAGTTGCAGGAGTTTTGTACGTAACCATTAAACTATAGATTAACTAACTCTTATATATACCATTTTGTGCTCGTAACCATCGTTAAATTATATTAATTAATCCCTATACCATTTATATCTTACACTACAAGAGGCAACAACTATCACTAGAAATTAAAAATTTATAAATAAGTATTTATTTTATATTGATTCACAGACAATTTAATTATCCATTATAAGTTGAATAACAATAATTTTTTAGATTTTATCTACAACGAATAACTCTAGCACTCTAGATTTTATCTAAGTTTTACTTGCTTTACATATTTATGGATAAAAATATTTTTTAATTTTATCCATAATTTGTCCTAACAAAATATTTATATGTACAAATCATTCTGCCGATGTTACTCTGATAAATACGTGGTTCTAATAAGACGGATAAATCAAATACAGTTAACTTAGCCATTGAAGTATTAATTGTCCTTCTTAATAGTTCTTTAGTGGAGTTGCTTAAACATACAGCAAACCAAAAGCTAATTTCACTGAAACTGTACCATGAAGTACATACTTTCACATCCCATAATTGACCAGCTCCAACATCTCATTAATTTACTAATTACTATGATTAATTAGATAGAGGAATTTGTAAGGAGACAACATAAAAGTCCAAATTAAGTAAACGACAAATAAAAAGTCGTATATGTGCATCACACTAACTATTACTCTTCTTTTTCTTCCATTGTTTATATATAATTTGTTTGACGGTAATATTAAGGAATAAAGGTCTAAAGTAAAGAAAAATAGACAAACTGAAGATAAGGCACACATCAATAATAATAATAATAATAATAATAATAATTATTATTATTATTATTAAAACAACTGTGATAACAATGTTGGAAGCAATGGTGAAATGGAGAGTTAGGTGAGTTAATTTTTTTCGTAAAAAATATTCCTGCAAATTTTCATGTGAAAAAATTCGCAGGAAAATTTTTTTTTGCAATAAACTTTCCTGCAAATTTTTTTTGAAAGAAACTTTCCTGCGAATTTTTTTCGTAAGAAATTTCGCAGGAAAATTTCTTGCGAATTTTAAAATTTGCAAAAAAATATTATCCACGAAGTAATTACCTACAGATAAAATTTCGCAAGAAAATTTGCAGGAACAACGTTTCCTACGAATTTTTATGAAAAATTTACAGGAAAAATCGCATGTAATAAGATAAATTCTAGTAGTGTACATAGCAAGTAATAAAGTTTAAGTTTAAAATATTGTACAAATTATTTAAATTTTAAGTATTTTTATTTGTTTGATAAGAGAATATTAGTCCTTCCTACTAGATTGGCTCAGACTCATACAAGAGTAAAATGATATCTCGTAGTGTCTCCAAATTTTCAATACTAATTAATCATAGCAAATTAAACTTAATTTTTAATAGAGATATATTGTCACACTTAGTTGCAGGAGTTTTGTACGTAACCATTAAACTATAGATTAACTAACTCTTATATATACCATTTTGTGCTCGTAACCATCGTTAAATTATATTAATTAATCCCTATACCATTTATATCTTACACTACAAGAGGCAACAACTATCACTAGAAATTAAAAATTTATAAATAAGTATTTATTTTATATTGATTCACAGACAATTTAATTATCCATTATAAGTTGAATAACAATAATTTTTTAGATTTTATCTACAACGAATAACTCTAGCACTCTAGATTTTATCTAAGTTTTACTTGCTTTACATATTTATGGATAAAAATATTTTTTAATTTTATCCATAATTTGTCCTAACAAAATATTTATATGTACAAATCATTCTGCCGATGTTACTCTGATAAATACGTGGTTCTAATAAGACGGATAAATCAAATACAGTTAACTTAGCCATTGAAGTATTAATTGTCCTTCTTAATAGTTCTTTAGTGGAGTTGCTTAAACATACAGCAAACCAAAAGCTAATTTCACTGAAACTGTACCATGAAGTACATACTTTCACATCCCATAATTGACCAGCTCCAACATCTCATTAATTTACTAATTACTATGATTAATTAGATAGAGGAATTTGTAAGGAGACAACATAAAAGTCCAAATTAAGTAAACGACAAATAAAAAGTCGTATATGTGCATCACACTAACTATTACTCTTCTTTTTCTTCCATTGTTTATATATAATTTGTTTGACGGTAATATTAAGGAATAAAGGTCTAAAGTAAAGAAAAATAGACAAACTGAAGATAAGGCACACATCAATAATAATAATAATAATAATAATAATAATTATTATTATTATTATTAAAACAACTGTGATAACAATGTTGGAAGCAATGGTGAAATGGAGAGTTAGGTGAGAGAAGAGAAAAAGCCCCCTAACCACTTCATCTAGCTTCTTACTCATTTCCGTTTTGGTTCTCTTATGAATATTTTTATTCTCCTCCTCGATTTTACCGTTTATATATAAAAAAAAGTGTGGACAGATAATACTAAGCACACGCGTCCGTCCATCAAATATAGATTGAGAGGCCCTTCCAAATGTCATAGAAAAGTTTTTCAACGGGGGAAACGAATTAGAAACTTCTGTTTAGAAAAATGACCACAAAACGCAATTTTCACAAGGAGAAAAGAGGGAAATACGACCCTTGTGAAAAGCAAAGTGTGTGTAATTGCGTACGTACGTGTGGATTCGGTTTCGTTTGGTCCAAATTAGTGTTTCTCAAAATTTCTAGAACCCACGTCACTTGGTTTGGGATATGTTTGGTTCCGTAGTTATAAAGGAGCCTCTCCTTAGAATCATCGAGGACAATAATATTACTCACTGTTCTTTCCCTTTGCGTGAGGAGTTATGGTAATTGATTTCGAGGTTTTCACCCATGGATTCTGATCGTCCCAGAAAACCTTCCCAAAACTTAGTTCACTCTCGCTTCTTCTGTTCTGGCTTCTATTGCTGGGATTGGGAGTTTTTGACGGCTCTCCTCCTCTTTAGTTCTTATCCATAAGCTTCCTTTTATAATTTTTTTTTCTCCTTTTTTAGACATATTTCACTAGATCGAACCAAAGTTTTTTTTTTTTTTTTTGGGAATAATAATAGTAATAAGAAAAGATTTGAGGTTGAAATGTTGCAACGATCGGTGCCGGCACCGTTCTTGACGAAGACATATCAATTGGTGGATGATCCAAGCACGGATGAGGTGATATCGTGGAGCGAGAGTGGCGACACTTTCGTGGTGTGGAAAAATGCGGATTTTGCAAAGGATTTGCTTCCTAATTATTTCAAGCACAATAATTTCTCCAGCTTTGTTCGTCAACTCAACACCTATGTATGTTGATCTTTCCTTTCTCTTTGTTTTTAACTCGCATGATTTGGTTCATTTTCATCATTTCATGTTAATTATACAAATGATTATATAACTATATCAACTATCAAGCAGGTATTCTTTCGTTTAATCTTATATATTTTTGTCTAAAATAGGTACATACTAAATATATAAATAGGCCAGGAGAAAATTTTTGCCTGATAGGGAATAGGGATAAAGTGGTGTTGCCATATATTTGTTTATACAAAAAATTTAAAATCATTTCATACAATTATATTTTTGAAACAAACATAATTATTGATTGACGAACTTACTATTTTTGTTTTTGTTTTTTTTCAATAAATGATTATCATTTATCTACTTGGTATTAAACTATGTAAATTGGTATTTTACCTTAGATGGAAGAAAAAATAAGAGAATGCATGTCCTTATATTTATTCACGTTATTTTCTTTCAAAGTCTTTGCCTGGATCTACAATATTTTGTTTTTCAAATTCTAATAATTGATTAGTTCATTTTAATCATACTTTATCATACCAGTAATTTTCGGTGGTTTTGCGTTTGTAGGGATTTCGAAAGATTGTGCTAGACAAATGGGAATTCGCGAACGAAAACTTCAAACGAGGGAATAAGGAGCTTCTCTCCAAGATCAAACGGCGTAAGATCGTGCCGCAACCGCCGGCGAATCCATCGGAGGCCGGAAACGGAAACTCTCCGTCAAACTCCAGGGGAGAAGAGGCGGGGTCCACATCAACGTCGCCGTCATCGTGCTCCGGTTCGAAGAACCCAGGATCGATGGACACAACAGCTTCTCGCGAGTTATGGAGCAAGAACGAGAAACTGAAGAAGGACAACAAGACGCTGAGTTGCGAGCTGGCACGTGCAAGAAAGCAGTGCGACAAGCTTGTTACTTTTTTGAGGGACCGTCTGATGGTGGGTCCCGATCAGATCGATGACATCATGCGGCGAGGATGTGAGGACGCGGTAGGTGAAGGTGGAGGAGGAGACTATTTGAAACTGTTTGGTGTTTGGTTGAAAAAGGATATGCTAACGGACAAACCTAGCAATGGCCACAACAAAAGAGGCCGCGAAGACCAAATGGGCTTCGCTGGGCCTCGCCTCAACGACTTTGGAGCTGTGAAAGTCATCATGAAGAGCAACTGAAGTACTGAACCAGGACTTTAGCTCGCCACGCAATCAAGTCACCAATTTTTATTTTCTTTTACGTAAATAAAGATAGATTACGATATTCAAAAAGGAAAAAAGCAGCTAAATGCGCTAATCATGGTTGTTGGCTGAAAAGGCCAAATGCGCATGTGTAGGTTGTGTTATATTTTTATGTATAAATTGATATTTGAAAAAAATATATAATGGAATTCCAAACCAATACATTTCAACAACGATGATGATTATTTGTAAAAGCTAACGTTTAAGTCAATTATTATTGGACCGTCTCGGCCGTATGCCGATTGATATCGCCGACTAGGCCGTAGGTCAATTGATATCGCCGACTCGGCTGTAGGCCGATTGATATCGCCGACTCGGTCATAGGCCGATTGGTATCGCCGACTCGACCGTAGGCCGATCGGTATCACCGACTATAAGGGCTACTATGCATGTGAGGTCGACTATAAACCCGTGCACTACCCAGGCTGATTCACGACCTGATCTCCCCTCATTTGATCACCCGACTGTAACCTTGGCCGACTTGGGCCACGTCAACCAGATACTGATCTCACTCACCCATAAAGGCCTACTCGGTCATTATCCGATTGGACACTCGGCAATGGAGAGGTCCCACCTTCACTCACCAAGTATTTCCAGATTGGAACGGCTAAAGAGATCCCTACATTCTCGGGGCCCATAAGGCCCGTAAACAAGAAACTATAAAATCCAAAAACCCTAGAGTTGAGGGAGCAGTTTATACTTTTGAATGCTCTAGTTCTAAGGCACGATCTAAGAAAAAACCTTAGTTCACCCTTTGGCCGGAACAATTATATATATATATATATATATATATTTTTTTTTTTTACCAAAATGATGATATAAAATACTTCCTATGATGATGTTGATTGTATTTAAAGTAAATTTAAGATTAATTAAATTCCCTGACATAACATATTACTTTGTCTCATAGTAATAATAAGATAATTTTATTCTAAGGCATGAGGTGATGTGCTTATTAAGGATTAGGTACTCTTTTTCAAGTCAAAAGCATCATTCTTCTAATTCTAAGTGAGGTAGAGTACGCTGTGACACTTGAATTAGAGTGTAGTCAAGATGCATATATTTAGAAAAGGGTTATTACGCGTGTGTATCTTGTGTTGTTATTTTTCTTTTTATACAAAAAAAAGAAAAACACATTTTCTTTATTAATGAATAATTATCAATGATAACTTAACCTTTCGCATTTTCAGAAAGATAAGATAACTATCTTTCCATGTCTACCTTATTATCTTTATCGATTGTTGTTGGTCCAATAGGTATTTGGTAATATCAAATAGTGACATGTCATTCGACTAATAATTTTCAATAATTGTTTAATCTTATCCAAAAATTATTGTTGGGTAGTGATGTATTTCATCTCGATATATCTTTCATGAATACTTAAGAATAATAATGTATTTAGATGTTATATTCGATCAACTCGAGCAACTTGGGTTGAGTTAAACTTTTTTTTTTTTCCTTTTTATTAAGGGTTGGTTTAAACTTTGGCATGAAGTATTTAACTTTTGTGAATTGTCTCGGGTATGTTATTTTAGTAAAAAAGATGGTTACAAATAACTATCTTAATTGAAAATTTAAGACATAGTAAATAACTTCATTCAATGCATCATTTCCATTTCTTTTACCATTTCACTCTCTATCACCATTCATTATTCCAAGGCTTTTTGACCAAAGTGGGGTTGTTGACCAAGTTATTTACGTAAATGGGGTTGTTTTGAATTTATTTACGCCTTTGGGGCTGTTTATAACGGTGTCGCTATAGCCCATAGCGACACCAGTGACACGTGGCATTTTTTTCACTTCAGGGAAGCCATGAAAGCCATATAGATAAAGTCGCTATAGCTCATAGCGCCACTAAACGGCTTAAATAAAATCGTTATAGCCCATAGCGCCACCAAACGGCTTAAAAAAAATAAATTCAAATGTAAAAAATAAATTAAGTTAATAATTTAAAAAAAAAATTAGTGGCGCTATAGCCTATAGCGACACTGTGTCGCTATAGGCCATAGCGCCACTTTTATAAATATTTAAATAGATAAAAAAGAAAAAAAATATGTATAAAATAAAGAAATTATAGAAATAATAAATTTATAAATATATATTTATATGAAATTGATAATATAAATTAAAATTTGGAAAAAGAAATTAAGTTAATAATTTATTGGAATTAAGTAAATTTTTGTAAAATAATTTACTAGAATGTTGAGTATATAATAATTTTTAACAGATATATTTTATTTAAAAATTGTATATAGTGCATAATAAAAAATGAAAAAAAAAAATTTTCTAGGGACAGAATGTATTTATATAAATGGAGATAATAAAAAATACAAAAAAAATGAGTTACAAAATAATTTTTAGAAAAAAAACTAGTACAATAAATCTGGAGAAAAAAAAAACCCAATAACCTAAAAAAATGAAAATTTTGAAAAAAAAAAAAAAAGAAGGCTAGTCTCGCTGTGGGCCATAGCGACACTAGCCTTCTTTTTTTTTAAAAAAAAATTCATTTTTTTTCCTACTTAAAGTCTCTATGGGCTATAGCGACAAAAAGTCGTTATGGCACATAACGACCATTCTTTTTTTTTTTTAGTTTTTTGTTTTTTTTACCTCAGTTTTTTTTAAATTTTGTTTTTTTTTGTTATTGGGTCATCTTTTCTCCAGATTTATTCTACTAGTGTTTTTTTTAATTTATTTTGTAATTCATTTTTTTTTTGTGTTTTTTTACATTTTTTCCCTTCACTTATTTTTTGCCCAGTTTTTTTTAAATTTACATATAAAAAATTATTAATGCACTTAAATAATAAATTTTCTTTAAACTACACAATTAATTATTTTAATTAAATTTATTAACAAATTACTGAAA